GCATTCTAGTAGCTATTTCAAACTTGAGAAGATCCTGTTAAATAACACGATTTTAGATCTTCAGTGAACAAGTCACGAAAAGTTCATGAATGGGCGACAGGCCACATCAGGCCTACTCTTCAGCGCCGACATCACTATGTTATGTTATGTTATGATAGTCCATTCGAAGCACGGCAGTGGTGGTCTCCGACAGGCGTCCCGTAGTTGGGAAGTATAGTATGGTATTTTCGGCATTGAAGAATAGGCATGTCGCCTATCTAAAGACTGGTATTTTGAGCAAATCTTTTCAACGGACGGTAGGTTTAAAATCATTTCTAAACCTTCAGTTGTTCCGTAGGGTACTAGGCATTTCAAGACTAAACATATGTATGCTCCTGCATGGCCTTGTCTAGTCTGTTCTTGATCGCATTCATACTCGGAGCGTCAACAATATCTTCAGGGAGAATGTTCCACATGTCGGTGATTCGAAACGAGAAGAAGTGTCGTCGCATGGATGAGTTGCACCGCAGTTTGTTTAGTTTATATCCGTGGCCCCTGGTGTTGCTTCTTGTTTAAAATTCTAGTAATCTTTCTGGGACCTTGCATAAACCAAAAGTATACTTGTATACTTCAATGGTTTAGCAGTTGACAACAGTTTTGAATTTTTCACAGTGGGAAGTGAGTAATTTTGTGAAACATAAAGTGGTTCACAAATATTCATAATTTGAAATTCATTCGAAATTCCCCCCAAAATGACCGGAAAAATAACAGGGTACTGTTTGGAACTCCTTTGTGCACCGCGCACTACATACATTAGGGGAGCACTGGTCAAAAAAAAATCGAACGAGTTCTCGAAGGGTTTTGTACTGCAATTACCATCAAATAACGCGAAATGAGGACATTAATCATGGTTGTGGATGGACTGATAAACTGGTTTCACTAAAGTGATTACATGAAGTTAAATCACATAGAAGTTAGCTTAGCCAATAAGATCTTTCACTCTGAGAAACGAGTACGATTTTTCCAAGAAGCAACGCGCTATTTGCGGAACATCCTGAACCATTATGACCCGTCAAAAGGACGTATTAGAGCCACGTGCAGACAGTGTCTCTATTTGGACAATATGACCCACTCACAATTCAAAGTGCAATGCACCCCACGGTGAGTACTAGCCTGAATGAATTGCCTCCTTCATCGAGAGCCGTTGTAGACTCATTACTCACTGTCAATGATGGTAGTGAGTAATGAATGTGTGATTAGGAAAAGAGTTTTACAGTTAAGTAGATTTGAGATTTTTCTATTAATATTATACTTTTATTATATCGGCAATCACTTTAATTTCGTCAGATTGGTCCGCAGTGGTTTTAAAGGCGCATGACTAGGTTTTCGTATGAATAGGTTACAGCAAAAAAGTACAGGAAGAGGGTTGTAATGAAACACTGGTGCATTTCATATTAAATTTTGAAATTCAAGTTCACATTCTACGTCAACCAAAGATCTCGAGTACGCGAAAAAGGGTAATCTGAACAAAATCAAAATTGAGTACCTTTCTGTTAACATCACTAAATTTCTCTATTTAACAGAAAAAGTTGGTCCGTCACAGTTCCGTTGAGTAGACGACTGTTGTAAACGACAATAACTCGCGCATCCGTTTACGGCTGAATGTTCAGCGACCGTATCGCAGCTGTAGCCGCGCGTTTGCAGCCGTATTCCAAGTGGCCGTACTGCTGCTGTAGCCGCGCGTCGATCCCTGCGGTCGCTTTTTCATGATAGCCGTGGTGTCTCGCCGATATAGATGCCTCGTGTTAGTCTGGCCGTAGGTTTCTTGTTTATTTATTGCGGTTGATGGTTGTGACCGTATTGTTTCTTCTGATGAGAGTTGTGACCGTACTATGCTTATGACCATCCCGACGATAATTCTTGCGCAGAGCTCGAAAACTTGAATTTTCTGATGACGGCGTTTATATCGTTGAATGTCTTGTTGTCCATCACGTTGTCTCACGGTTAAGGCACAGCCGTAGCAATGATGTTGACCGTACATATATGGCGAAGTCGTGTCCGATGCACGATAATTGTTTTAAGTTGTTATATCGGAATTTTGGTGATATGAATGACTCGACGATTCGCACGGCCGTTATTTCTCGACCCGCCGCACACCGGCCGAAGCCGTTTCGGAGATAGCTGCAGACCGTACTGACGAGGCGGTCACCACTGTAGAACCAACCCTTGGCGCCAATTTTAGGGCCCTTATTTAGGCAGCCGTCGCGCACAGTTAAGCTATCCCTCGCCAAATTCCCCAACTGATGGAATTTCCCTCGCGCTTAGTTCGCCAACGTTCAATGTAAACTAACTCGTTCCCACGGTCTCAAAACAACCGCGTCTTACACACTTGCTATATCGCTTCGACCCGAATTCTTGGGATTCTTAACACCTACGCATAACACATGTTCCATATTACCTACTTTATTCATTTGGTACAGCTTTTCATTCAGTGAACACCTGCTTGGGTCATACTTTCTTCACTGTGTAACAGCTCTCACAACTGTTCCTGGCACCTGCGACCAAAATTGTGTCTGGATATACCAAAGCATCAGTGTATATTCGTACGCGTTGAAAACAGGTTCCGTGCAGCATGATGACCTGCAAACAATATTGACGTTAATGCGCTGTTTCATTCGATAGAAAATTCCGCGGATTTCTTATGAAATTTTTACTATTATTAGAAAATAAATTTTAGATTTCAAAGCTGTCGACCTTCACATATAAATGAATATGTGTATACAATGAATTAATATAATAAAGGATGAATATTAGTTGCGTTATCCAAAAATGAGCTGAAATTTCACGTGAAATATAAAAACTGTAACAACTATTACGGTTGACCTAATTACATCGTTCAAGAGAAAATTTATCCGCATGAAACTTCTAAGTTTTTTACCATTGAAAATTCTGGTGAAATTCCTTGATATGACGAAATAAATAAAATAGCATAAGGTGTTTATAATCCCTGCTACGTTAATATAGAACTATGTCATTTCATGTTACGTAAATTTCAACATCAAATTCAGCCACTCTTTTCGACGAGTTTATAGTTACTCGATACTAAGATTAATCGTATAATATTAGACGATGACGATGCGGCTACATATCATTTCGTTTTCAACCACTTCAAAATTTCCACCTAGTAAGAAAATCAATTCACTCTTTTTTTTCATAAAACTCGTAATTGTTTCCTGTTTTTTTTGTAACCTTAGACCTCACAAAATAGCTTAAATCAAGTACAAACCTCAAATTTTGTTCCTCTGGTAACCTATAAAAAAACATTGCTATGACACCAAAAACATTGCTATGCCTCATTACAGAAATGTGTATTTTTCTGGGGGTAGTTTTTATCTACTTCTGTTACCATATTTTTCCAAAAGCGGGTATCTATGAGGTTCGTGATTATAAAGGTACGTATGGCAGATCAAATTATTCAGCTTTACTAAAAGCGCATTTGTTATTGTCTCTCATTAATAAATATATCAAATATCTCAATTTTATTAGTTATTCATAATTGATTCTAAAATACAAAGTCATTCATCATATAAAATGTGATTTTTCCTGCCCAGTTTATTGTGTGAGATCGAAATTTTATTTATATTACACTTTATTAACATGTCTGACGTCAAAGAGAAATTTTTTCATGTTTACTTCGTGTTGATTTTCAAGTCCTTTCAATCTAGTCATACTTTGAGTTAATCTTTTTTTAACTTTTGCTTGGTATGCACCTTCACAGATTATCTCAAACGTGAATGGCAGGTAGGAATGTCGACGACGAATGGCGAATCGTTCAACCGAAGTCTTCATGGACAGCTGGATAATTTTTTCAACTCCGTGCCAACGTTCGTGGACAAGCAATTTCAGCCCTGCTTGGACACGTTTCAACATGTTGAGAAATACCGACGAAGGACCAATTTTCGTTCTGGGCCATTACCAAAAATTTTCGTTGTTTCTGCACGTCGTTTGTCGGATCCCTTTTGGATCGAATCTTTGAAACATTTCACCGACAGTGAATGTCCATTGCAATGCACTTTTACTGACAACGAACTTGAGCTAAATAGAAGCGATGCAGTTTTGGTCGTATTAAGTTTCTTCAAAAAAGTGGATGTTTTGAAATCAAAACTACCTACCAGAGATCCAGCTCAGCCTTGGATTGCGCTCTCAGTTGAATCACCAATTAATTTATCATTTGATACGGCTGATCTATCTGGATTAAATGGCATTTTCAACCGCACAATGACCTACCGGCAGGCTTCTGATATAACCTTCTCACACGGTTTCGTTGTCTCAAAAGCAAAAGCTAAGTTTCTTCCGCCGTCGTGGGTGATGCGAACTCCGGAACTTGAAGAAATTCCATTTGAAAGAAGAAAGCTAGCAGTGGCGTTCATTTCGCATTGCTCACCACCAAGCGGTAGAATGAATTATATCCGAGAGTTACAGCTGCACATGGAAGTTGATGTCTTTGGAAAATGTGGTAACTTTACTTGTGGTTCTTCCAGATATGTGATTAAGCCGGTGGAAGTTCAAAATGATGAGTGTCTAAAATTGGCCAGAGAATACTTGTTTTACTTGAGTTTCGAAAATAGTATTTGTGATGATTACGTTACTGAAAAGCTTTACAATATCTTGTACTATCCTGTAGTACCTATTGTTTTCGGAGGTGCAAATTACTCGAATTTATTGCCGCAAAATTCATTTATAAATGCATTAAATTATAACCCAAAGCAGCTTGCATCACTTTTGAAAACATTATCCCAAAATAAGACAAGTTATAATGAAATGCTATCATGGCGCAATCATTATCAAGTTTCAACAGTGGGACCTCGTCGTATTTATTGCGATCTCTGCACCAAACTGCATCAGTCGGAACTAACATCATATAAAGTTTATGATGACTTATACGACTGGTTCGCCGTACAATCGTACTGCAAGGCATATGCTCATGGAAAGATTATCCGTTACATCAGCATCTGAAAAATCCGTGATGATGAACCCACTACAAACTAGGAACTATACCACGCGCGCTGGATATGGACCACGCGTTAGTAAATGGTGCAGTGGGCTTAGCAAGTTTTACTTCCGAAACAATTACAGGAAGAACTTTGAATCTTGTGGTCTTTTATTCTGTAACGTTTGTTTTCTTTCTGTAACGTATGTTTGTTCTGGAACTTTGTCTTTTAGTGTTGATTGCGTTGTTATTAACTTAATAAAATTCAGGGTGCGCCTAAGCTTCTGTCCAGCTAGGCGTCGCTACTCTCGGATTAAAGTTGTTTTGGGTCTGCTCGGCCATCCGATCGAAATCAGCTTCTGGTCAGAATCTCCATTCCAACTTTAAAGTCGCCTGCGAGTATAACAATTAAAGGTTAGCCGAGCATAGTCATTCCCAGTTAGCAAGCTCCCAGAGGCTGCCCTTCAAACCCAGAGCGGAAGCAGACAAAGAGCGGCTGATTTAGCCCTTTCTCGGGTAAGTTACCATATATGGTAATTAAAATGGGAGTAAAAAAAGGCCCCATACGTCACCCACATTGCTTTGGGCAGCCCGCCAACAAGCTCCAACCAATCACAGATCGTGTACGAGTTACGTCATGTATGACGTAACGCTCTGGCGCATTTCGGGCTAGAAAAACGGCATTTCGGTCCCTCATCGTATTCACTGTAGCAGCTCTAGCCCACGAACTGTAGGCAAGTCCATGATAGTTGCGAGTATCATAGCTAAAAACTTGCTCTATCGACTAATTATGATGCCATTTACTTGAAGCCAATGCAAGATGGTGAATTAAGATGGCAAAAAATAGTGTGATCATATATGTGCATACGCCCGCCAATGCTTAGAGATAGAAGTGACTATGTTTGGACATATGCCCGCTAGAGGTAAATTTCTACAGCGCTTGGTATTATTTATTATACTATTGATGAGCAGAAGTAGAAAAGTTCAGTTTGCGGGACACAAATTCTGTTGTTGATCAATATATATCCAAATACAGCACTGGCTATTTTTCCCTCTCCAAAATTATCTCAAATTATAAATGTTCATACATAATCGTTGGCCCTGAAGAGAGGCTTGTTGCGATTGCGGTGCCTTCATGTCTTTGCTGCTTGAAAGTTCTTGAACCTGTCACAATTGCAACAAAGGATAACTTAGATACAAATATAAATTCATCACATTTGTTATTTGTAAATGATCATATCTTTTGCTCTTTGCTCATCTATGCCTGATGACCAATGAAATATGTTACATTCTTTTATTTGTATATCCAGTTCCATTAATGGGATTGTTGCAATTTTTGTAACAGCGTTTAATTCTCTAGTTTGTAAGGTCAGGATTTGTGTTTTGATAAATCTTGGCTAGAACTTTTTTCCTTCCACTTACTCGAGAATTACCTTTTTAAAAATACCTTGGCATGTCCACAACATTCACTGACGTTGCAAGGTTCTGTGTTATACACGTGGAACGTCGTGCTATAAACACCAGCTGTTAGTGTATTTAGTGGTATAACTGAACATGAATATAGTCTCCATCAGCAGAGAAATATTCATTTATAAGCATTAACTACATTAGAGATGGAAAACAGGAACTAAGTAAAAAGATCATTGGAGATTAAAATTACGTTAAAATCACGTTATTGTAATTTCTAATGGCTTTGCAGCAACTTGAGAAATTGTTTGTTTTAAAAACCTTTTGGAGCGGATTCATTAGGCAGGTGTCCGCTTCAAGAAATCATTATTGGATAACAAGTTTGTCAATGATAGACCCAACAATCTTGTAATGTGATCAGTTGGGGTGATACGATTTAATACTTTCTCGGTTCAAATCCCTGTTATTATTCTATGTCAACATAATTACTATGAGTTTACTTTGAGTTGAAATTTCGTCTGCTGCATGTTACATTAACTGTCGTCAATGTTATAAAAATAAGGAGCTGTTAATGAGATTCACCATCAATATATATATATACGGTTATTGTGAAATAAGAGATACTATTTAAATTTAAATAACTATCAATGAAGCTAGCGTTGTTTGGGAGGATCAATTCTCAACTATAGCAATATTCTATTAAACGTTACATGCATGAACCATGAATGAAAGGGCGTCTTTAATGCCTAGACTTGCGTTGCTGTGAAATGTCTGAGATCTCTGACTCATAGCTTGCTAAGAACTCTGCAACAATTGACATACAGACAATATTTTGGAACAATGACTAATATTTATACCGAAATTATCTGGCCTAATTAAAATTATATTCAATGACAAAATTCACAAAATTCAAAAAGGAAAAAATCAACACATGAAAAACAAACCTGAGTCGGTGTAGGAGAAATCTGAACTTTGAACGTATTTAAAAAGACATCAATTAGATGGACGCCACATTGCCTGCTGCTTCAGTCGGTATGCTTCAGGATGGTTTTAATGAAAACTAATCCAAAAGTTTAATTATCCTTTCTGCATCTTGGCTGTATTTATTATCTTAGTTTGATCTTAGCTAGTTTGATCAGCACCCTTCTTTAAGTAAGCCTCTGCAAAAAAAAAACAATAATGCTCTCTGTCTCAGCTTCAACTTGCTCTACGTTGCGTTCACGATTCATTTTACTTCTACATTACAAATTGAATACTAATAAAATATTCAGTGCAGGCTAGAACACTAAATTTCAAATCTGATCTCGTTATCTGCCATTCCTTCTATCGCTCATGGCCATAAATTAAATTCTTCTCATTCATGTGGCAATTAAAACGATGAATTAGTTCGATATTGACTCTCAATTGCATTTAATCGGATCTGCCCAGATTGTCGGGATTTATGGATTTGATAATTTTTAAAGGGAGCTTGATGAGCTAGTGACTATGGGCTCTTTCTAGAATTACATACCAAATATTAGTTACAATTAAATCTTTTGAAAATTAGAGACTTATTCCAATTTTGTTGCAAATGTCCTATTCCAATTTCGATGCCCAACTTGTCCTACTACGTAGGACAAGTTGGGAAATTTCTGCGCGACGGCAAATGTTCTTATTATAACTTGTTTCATGTTTCATGACAGCAAAGAGTCAAGTCAAAGTCAGAGCTTGCCCAATAAACTGATCAATCGGAGTATTTCAACAGTCAATCAGAGTATTTGTGTGCCTTGCTACTGACCTTTTTTACTCATATTCGATTTTCTCCAAAACCCTACCGACGTTGATATGAGATGTATATTTTGCATATTAATTGTATTTCAACGATGTATTTCAAACCTTCAAACTGTAAAGTTTCAGATTTGTGATGCTGCCGTGGACTCGGTGAATGGATTAAAATTTAGGCCCCATTTAGGTCCTTTTTCCAACAGATATTCTGTTGGAATTCTGTTTTCAGATATTCTGTTTTTAAATTAGACTAATTACTCCACATTTGCCGCGAAAATCCGGATTTCATAATGAGCTCTGTAATATTTCATATGGTCAAATTTGCATGATGTAATTAAAATTAATTAACGAAGTCTAAACATCAGTCACGTCGAAAACGAAAGCTGGCCATCGCTGGCCATCGTTGGCCAACGATGGCCAGCGATGGCCAGGGATTTGACTCTGGACGCACATTACACGGCTGGACTTTCAGGCAGGCTGTTGGCAGTGTTATTAATGAATAAAATGAATATAGAACAATCTATACCTGCTTCGTACCCACTTGTCCTTAGATACTCGTGCGCATCTAGGAACGAGCTACACGTCTACTTGAAAGTTAACATATTGACTACGATTGCTTCATCTTGTACTTTTGTTTCATTTTTCTAGTACTATTATGGAACAGGGTTGCCAGACTTTCTTTTTTTACCGGACAAATTCCGCGATTTAGTTTTTTCAATTTAGGTGGTCGGCTAAAATTTTTGATAGGGAATTGTAAGGGGCGCTTCCTAATTAAATAAAAAAAATTGAATTTTTACACCGGAACCTACAAATATACTAGTATATATTGAGTTATAGGCCTTTTTGGCCTTTTTGTTCACGGACTTAATTGGCCGTTTTTTATGCCATCTGGCAACCCGGAATTATGTACCAGGAGAAATACATTTCGTGGTACGCATATGTACCAATACATAGTCAACGTGTTAATTCTATGCAGTCAAGTACTGCAGAAATCCTATGAGCAATGGTATGATTGCAAGATGACAATGCGTTGTAAAATTTCAACGCTTCGTCGATGAATAGAACCATATTGATCACTATTGGTTTAGTGGATAAACTTCGCCTTTACTAATCCCCCTGTAGATCTAGAGACGGGTTAAATGAGGAAGAAGTAAAGACTCCATGTGCGCCACCTATAATTTGATACCCGTAATTAATCGCCAAATAATGAGCCCTGTTTTGTTCATTTGGTGTGTAGATTAAATTTAGTAAATTTATTAAATATCCTGAATGTTGCATAATCCAATTAAAATATTAATACAAATCATGAGCACTAAATTTATTAACAATAAAGTAATGCTGCAATTTGAAGATTTTCATTCCGCCTCTAAATTGTAATGATAATGAAATAAGCNTATTAATTGTATTCTGCATCATGTAATAAGCTTTATCAATAAAAAAAACATGCGTCCAAATGCAGATAAATCCAATTATTAAATCGTGTATTCCAGAGGTTATTTTTTATATAATCAATATTTTGTTACAAGCCACAATAACTTCCACTGTTAATAGTAACTTCCACAAAATATATATTTAAATTGTTAAATTGTTAAAATAATTTTAAAACAATTTAATCATCTAAAATCAAGCGAATTGCACGGTTTCGCATAACAGTGTACCTGGACTACAGTTTACAATTGCTTAAAGTGATAAAGTATATACAATAAGTTCACAGAAATTCATTCGAAATAAATAATAAGTGGCAACTTTTTGGTACTTGATCATGCATTTGTTTGTGCACGACTTCAATTTTGTTGCAGTTGATCTCACATTGCAGTTGATCTCACATTGCAGCGCCATACTTACATTCAATAAATGATGAACCGGTCTCCCGGCATATTAGTTTTGCAAATGCATAGTAATTAATCGTCTGTAATAGATATAGCAAACACGGGGGAATGGCAAACATAGGTCAGAATCAATATAAAGCATTATTTTAGTATATTATATATTGAGTGAGGAGTAATAATCCTGAAAATGATGCGATTCCTCTACCTCCACTGCTACCTACAACTCTACGCTACCTCCACTGCCTACGCTACCTCTACGCTACCTTCCCATTATAACCTTCTCGAGGAGTTCCTTATTTCCTCTGATGGCCTTCAGCATATCAGGGATGTGGGGATTATCGACCAGTTTTAATTTCGCCATAAGTTTCGCCTCATCATAGAAGTAAGGAGCGCTCGGGTCTTCGGAAGCTAAGTATAGTAAGTTCATCAAGCCATCAACGATCATTTCGTAACCGCTATAAACTCGTAGCCTTCTTTCCGCGCTGATGCCAAGCTGAACTTTTTTACTCCCAGGAATATAAAAAAAATTTGAGTGAAAACTTATGCGTGTGTCAAGTACGTATAGCAATTTTTCAAAGCATGGGACTCATTACAGTGGCTTTTCGGACGTCTTTTAATGTAGTTCCGTTGTTATTTAGTTTGTCTCCGAATGATCCAACAAATAATTGAGATTTGAGCCTCCATGGAGAATAACGTTGTCACAGGATTTTGTCTCTGAACAATATTCATGTGCATGAGAGTATAACGTGTTACTTTCAA